TTGTTCCATGATATGAGCTCAGTCATGATGAATCTAACTCGACCGCCGAACTTGATAGTGACGTGTACGAAGGGGCTACCACTGTGGTAGACTTAGAGCAAGTAAATTGACAACTATTTATCCACATCGCGATTGCCGTCGAGAATCAGTATTATTATCTTTCTAACGTCACCTCTTTATTGCATTGTCCACCCATATGCTTTGTGGAACTCTCTTAGTGTACACGAGTAGCAACGTAGTTGCCGAGTAGTGGCCTAATGTAGCATCAGTGATTAGTTCTAACCCAGGGACAGTATCGTGTCGAAGATGTTCTCTTATTAACAGCTTTCTGTTATACCACAACATCTCGAAACTCTCAAGCTTCGTGACTCAATCAAGCGACCCACAGTTGATACAAATAAGAAGTCTGCGATGAGCACAAATACCGAACAGCTCTCCCAGACAGAGTTACCTTACGTAGTTAACTTTTAGTCTACGCATACGTCTTATTATCAAACTTACTAGCGTTGATCGTTTTTGCGCTAGTAGATTGACTAACTCAGTAAAGTCATCATAGGTCCCCGCCACACAACTAGGAACTCAAGCTCATCAGATTGGTCAATGGAGATTGTATTCTTCAACTTGCGAGTAGCGATGCGCTGTATCGTAATAACTAGCTTCTTCTAACTCATAAATTGATACTCAAATACTCTCCATTTCAACTACAACAACTAACGATAACCTTCGCGATGAAAGAAAATCGATGTAGCCTTACATAGAAAGGCAACTTCTTACACGAGTCCCTACATAACCACCATATTCACCAACTTATACTCACTATACTTATGGTGATTTCAGCAGTGATGAGAGGAGAACAGGTGGCGAGGTACACGCCTCGACTTAGTCGTCACGATCATCGGTGTCGACGACCGGTGCCTTTTGAGTAGGGGCATTATCAGCTTCCTTCTGACTGCTTGATCTGCGGCTTCTAGTATAAGTGCCGTCCTCCTTCAAGAATTGATCCTCACGAACGAACATCTTACGTCCTTGGAACTCGTAACCATTGAACTTTTCTGAAAAAAATATGGTAAAAAAACTCGAAATTTTTACAAGTACTCACCAATAGCCTTTTGAGCTCCTTCAGCATCTTGGAAGAGGATCGTGGCGAAGCCCTTCGACCTTCCATCCCAACCCTCGGCCACATCGACACGAATCA